CAGGCTTCCCAGTTTCCTTAAGTTCTGACGAACTGATGGAACAAAATCATGAACAAACCAATCGCGAAATATGTCTTTGTCCATCCAAGCACTCTTTTGGGCTTTATAGGTCACAGACAAGTGCACAATTCCTTTAAAGGCCCGTGGGCACTTAAATTTGCCAACCACCAAAAGCTTAATTTTATGCTGGCCTGAAGCATTTGCACATACATGAACGGTTAATCTTTCCTTATTAAGCTTAAAACCTGTTGCATTTCGTTCTTGGTTTCCAGCCAAAGTTTTTGTGGGCAAACACTTCCAGTAAACCCCTGTTTCATCAGCATTATAAATTTGATCGGCTGTGAGATCATAGTCATTTACAATTTTTTCAAATGTTGCACTATATTTTGTTGCTGCTTGTGTATCAGCTGACTGTCTTTCTCCAGCAATATCTAATTGTCTAATACCATGACGAGTCTTGAAATTCCTATGCCATCCATCACTAAATGCGCACTCTGATTCAATGTTCATTTGCTCCTTAAAAGACTTTGCTCTGGCAATAAGCATCGGCCCAGAAATTGCCATACCTTCTGATCATTTTAACAAAAACCATTCATCCAACACTTTATAAGATTTTCTAATTTGGGCCGATGTAAACTTTTTCTTTCAGCAATTTTATTGTAAGGCTCAGAAGAAGTTGTGAATTCTAGATTTATATTCCTTGCCTTTTTTATGTTATAAATTGTTGACTTTCCAATGTTGTATGTTTCCATTATAACAGCATTGCTCACACCACGTTCTAGTTTCTTAAGTATTTCAAGTTTGTCACTCAATTTCAATGTATTCTTCTTTCTCTTCACACAACGAAGTTTATCTACTTTAGGAGCCATTATTATGGGCTTGTAAATGGAAAGAGTAGGACTCAAAATTACATACGTTGTCACAGTTTGATTGCTTGTTTTAAAGTAGCGATCGAGTGGTCGCTTGTTGTCGCTGTGTAGCTGTGGCGTTCAAGCATGCACACATATACACACAAAAGATTTATAGTGCCTCAAATTTTACATTTCAGGACAAGCTAATTACAAAACTAACAAAATTAGCTACCTATAATTTACAATTACTTTTATTATTAGAATTATGTAAATGAATTTTTTTAAAGCAACTCCATTCATTCACGTAACCCACAAAAGCCCGCTAAATTTAAAAAGTTTGAAAGTTTTCGAAAAGTCCGATTCTCGGGTGGTCCGGATTTTTGGCATCCGGATTTTTGGACTTTTACTGTAGACATAAGAAATTCACCTGACCCATGACACTGATTTTCATAGTTGAATGTACAGCGAATAAGTTGAATCGAATTTCTGTCGTTTGTGAGATTAGTCCTTCTGGCATGCCTGTGCAAGGCTGAGTTGCCAGATGCTCATATATAAACGAATGCATGAGGAAGACTCACACGCTCGTGACTCTTCCTCAACGCATCTCAAGGTATGTGAACGATTGTTTCCCGCCGCCATGCAAAGTCAGTTTAACTTAGTCGATTTTGTGAATATCATTATTCATGTTTTAACATAGTGAAATGATTGTGTGCCAAGTATAATTAAAGTAACGTAAGTATCGTTGCCAGACATATGTTATGTATAGTTGAAGTTAGACCATTTTAACACGCTCATGACTCTTCCTCAATGCATCTCCAGGCACAGAGTGGGTGTTAGCTGAATACCCAGCAGCTACCGGGATCGGTAGATGCATGCCAGCTGGCTGTCGCGGTCATTAATTCGGCACAATTAAATAGTGCGAGTCCGCACCCTGGGAACGAGGCCCGAACTCCATCGCCGTGTGTCGGACTGTAACCGACCCTAACAGCGCATGTAACAATGGCAACATGTCATCTCACATCCCCAATTTTTTCCATATGCTAATGCAAAAACCGAATTTTGACCTTACGTTAATCACTGCATGATTTTGAAGGCATTTCCAGGTATCTGAACTACCAGTGGTCCCAAAGAGTTTGGATAAAAGGAATTGCACTATACAGAGAATGAGTGTGGTGGGGGTTGGGGGATTCGCGGCGGTATAGTGGATATTTTTCCTCGTAATTCTCATAAGTGCGAGGATTTTTTTTTACTTATAGTTCAGCAATAATTTGGCCTCGCAAATGTGAAACCACAGATATGTATCAATAACTTGGGTAACGTGTACCCCAAAAGTTCTGTTATTTATTACTTATGATTTTTACCTTGCATTAATTGATTTTAATCTTTTAAGCCTTTATTTTAATTCATAGACATAAGGCCTAAGCTGTTATGTTGCCAGGGATGTAATTACCACAATCAATCAACACCCTGTATTAGCATTAACAGAATGCATACCAGTGTTGCCACACACACACTTTCAAGATTTCTTTCTTCATATACAGGTATACCTCGATAACCGATGCTTTTGAAATATGTGGAGATATCTTTTAAAACTCTTAATGGCAGAAACAGTGGCCAAAGCATCAGCCAGAGGGGTTGACTGAAGGAAGGAATGATGTCTCAGTGTAAACTCAATGTTTCAACACTGATGAAAAACAGTCTCAACATATGCTTCTTTTTGCTTAATTAATGCTTATTATGCTTACTTTATACAGTATGTCATGTCTTGTTTGTTTGCTTTTTCTTGCTTGACGGTCAGAGAGAGAGAGAGAGAGAGAGAGAGAGAGAGAGAGAGAGAGAGAGAGAGAGAGAGAGAGAGAGAGAGAGAGAGAGAGAGAGAGAGAGAGAGAGAGAGAGAGAGAGAGAGAGAGAGAGAGAGAGAGAGAGAGAGAGAGAGAGAGAGAGAGAGAGAGAGAGAGAGAGAGAGAGAGAGAGAGAGAGAGAGAGAGAGAGAGAGAGAGAGAGAGAGAGAGAGAGAGAGAGAGAGAGAGAGAGAGAGAGAGAGAGAGAGAGAGAGAGAGAGAGAGAGAGAGAGAGAGAGAGAGAGAGAGAGAGAGAGAGAGAGAGAGAGAGAGAGAGAGAGAGAGAGAGAGAGAGAGAGAGAGAGAGAGAGAGAGAGAGAGAGAGAGAGAGAGAGAGAGAGAGAGAGAGAGAGAGAGAGAGAGAGAGAGAGAGAGAGAGAGAGAGAGAGAGAGAGAGAGAGAGAGAGAGAGAGAGAGAGAGAGAGAGAGAGAGAGAGAGAGAGAGAGAGAGAGAGAGAGAGAGAGAGAGAGAGAGAGAGAGAGAGAGAGAGAGAGAGAGAGAGAGAGAGAGAGAGAGAGAGAGAGAGAGAGAGAGAGAGAGAGAGAGAGAGAGAGAGAGAGAGAGAGAGAGAGAGAGAGAGAGAGAGAGAGAGAGAGAGAGAGAGAGAGAGAGAGAGAGAGAGAGAGAGAGAGAGAGAGAGAGAGAGAGAGAGAGAGAGAGAGAGAGAGAGAGAGAGAGAGAGAGAGAGAGAGAGAGAGAGAGAGAGAGAGAGAGAGAGAGAGAGAGAGAGAGAGAGAGAGAGAGAGAGAGAGAGAGAGAGAGAGAGAGAGAGAGAGAGAGAGAGAGAGAGAGAGAGAGAGAGAGAGAGAGAGAGAGAGAGAGAGAGAGAGAGAGAGAGAGAGAGAGAGAGAGAGAGAGAGAGAGAGAGAGAGAGAGAGAGAGAGAGAGAAACAACATATACAGTAAAACCTTGCCGTTCGTGGGTTTGCGAATTGCAATTTCGATGATTCGTGGTAAGCAGATGGGGCTATGGTGGCTAGCTTGCGAACCTTTTCCCGCAGCGCAATGAGTCACCCCACGCACCAACAGCGTCTCCTTTCCCTCTGTTTGCGCTCAACCATTGCCTGTGACGCAGCATCTCGTGTTGTACTTTCAAAACTTAAGTGTTTTTGTGTGAAAGGACCCCTAAAAGACTGCCTAGTGTCAGTGCTAGTGATGCTAGTGGAGTGAAACGTAAAAGGCAGAAGCCAGTGATGACCCTGACAAAGAAAATTGAATTATTAGACAAGTTAAAAGAGGGGATGAGTGATGCCGCAGCTGGTCGGTTGTTTGGTATGGGTATATAGTAGTGCACTATGGTCGTATAATTTGCTATTCGCAGTTTTGCCTATTTGTGCCATTCCTTGGAACCTAATCCTCGTGAATAACAAGGGTTTACTGTACTGTACAAGTATACTGTCGAGCTTTGATAGTTCACGAAATACTAATTTGCTTATTCATGGAAAGAATTCGCACCATGCCACTGAGCGCCAAACTCATGAGCGCTATATAACTGCTCCTCCAATCGGCGGATTAATGGAGTCGTCAGAGAAACTCACGGGATATTTCCCTAATATATAATCATTGGTTATGTGAAGCAGTGGATAATGGGACATTGCTGTACTGGGTTTACCTGTATCTGAATTTGAAAAGCTTTCATAGTGGTTTGATAACATATTATTTAATGTATGTGAAAAGGCAACAACTCCATGTTCCTATTACCTGGTGCATAAATTTAGGTTATTAGAATGATAGTAACACTGGCGCTGGTACAGATACATTCAATGCATAACAGATACATGATCAACTGCCTAATCAGCTAACAAGCCGATCAGTGGCAAAGAAGATTAAGTAGAGTACAGTATAAGTGTTCACTTCCTAGACTCAAGAATGGGAATGTATATTCATCTTCTATTGTACAGAGATTTGCACATTTATAATCCTAAATCTACCATATAAACAATAATCTCTTTATCACAAAAAAAAACAACAACAATAATTGCCAAGTTAATATCAGTAAATGATTGAATGTTTTATTTCTACTTTAAGGGATTCATACATAGTAGGTATGGTTCACTGAACTTCATTCTTGTAAATAAACTCACTGGTAGATGGCATGCAGAGTGATAATAGTAATGGTGGTACTGATGGTACTGTTAATTAGGGTAAGAGGTTATAGGTGGTGTTAAGAGCGCACAAGGAATTATGGTAATATTTACTGGTATTTTTGAGGCATTATAAAAACTTGTATCTGATACAGTAGTAGGAGCACACCCACTTTAGCCAAAAAAAATTAGGAATAAAAGCAAAATACAAATTAAAATTTACCTTCTCATCCAATTTAAGCATGTGAGAATTACTGGCAGCAAGGATCTTGAGCATTGGAGTCAGATCCTGGGCATATTTACACATAGGCCCAGTCACCAGGAAGTCCATCGCCTCACCCGTAGCTACTGGCTCCTGTCCAACGTTACTCACTATTCCTAAAAGCGAAGAATCTTGTATGTTGACAGTGCTTTACAAACAGATAAAACAACACATGAACTACAAGATACAGCATATAAATCTTGTAAAATGTGAGAAAAAATAGTTTGTAACAAGATAAAATTAAGTGGCGCTTCAGAAAAGGAAATCACCATGTGAAGTATGGATACAGTAAACCCACTTACACATGTATCATGGCTATGAACATCACAGTTCACTATTTAACAAAAACCTAAATAGGGAATATACTGTAGATTAATATCATAGCACAGTGTTTGAAATATTGTGGTCCATTGTAGTCTAGTGGGGTCACAGCAGCCAGTTAGTTGTGGGGGTCCAGGCTAGTGAGGTCAGAGTAGCCACCTAGCTGTGGTGATCCAGGCTAGTGAGGCCAGGGCAGCCACTTAGTTATGGTGATCCAGGCTAGTGAGGTCAGAGTAGCCACCTAGCTGTGGTGATCCAGGCTAGTGAGGCCAGGGCAGCCACTTAGTTATGGTGATCCAGGCTAGTGAGGTCAGAGTAGCCACCTAGCTGTGGTGCTCCAGGCTAGTGAGGCCAGGGCAGCCACTTAGTTGTGGTGGTCCAGGCTAGTGAGGTCAGAGTAGCCACTTAGTTGTGGTGGTCCAGGCTAGTGAAGCCAGGGCAGCTACTTAGTTATGGTGATCCAGGCTAGTGAGGTCAGAGCAGCCACCCAGCTGTGGTGCCCAGGGCCAGTGAGGCCAGGCAGCCACTTAGCTGTGGTGGTGGTCCAGGCTAGTGAGATCAAAGTAGCCGCTTAGCTGTGGTGGTCCAGGCCAGTGAGTGCCAGGGCAGCCACTCAGTTGGCGGTGGTCCAGGCCAGTGGAGGCCAGGGCAGCCACTTAGCTGTGGTGGTCCAGGCTAGTGAGCGGCAGCCACTTAGTTGTGGTGGTCCAGTCTAGTGAGGTCAGGGCAGCCACTTAGTTGTGGTGGTCCAGGCTAGTGAGGCCAGGGCAGCCACTTAGCTGTGTGGTCCAGGCCAGTGAGGACAGGGCAGCCACTAGTTGTGGTGGTCCAGGTTAGTGAGATCAGAGTAGCCGCTAGTTGTGGTGGTCCAGGCTAGTGAGATCAGAGTAGCCACTTAGGTTGTGGTGGTCCAGGCCAGGCAGACTGTGAGTAGCTAGTTGTGGTGGTCCAGCCAGTGGAGGCCAGGGCAGCCACTAGTTGTGGTGGTACAGGCCAGTGAGGCCAGGCAGCCACTTGGGGGTTATGGTGGTCCAGGCTAGTGCACTCAGGGCAGCAGCCACTTGTGTTGTGGTGGTCCAGGCTAGTGAGGACAGGGCAGCCACTTAGTTGTGGTGGTCCAGGCTAGTGAGACCAGGGCAGCCACTTAGTTATGGTGATCCAGGCTAGTGAGGTCAGAGTAGCCACCTAGCTGTGGTGCTCCAGGCTAGTGAGGACAGGGCAGCCACTTAGTTGTGGTGGTCCAGGCTAGTGAGACCAGGGCAGCCACTTAGTTGTGATGGTCCAGGCTAGTGAGGCCAGGGCAGCCACTTAGTTGTGGTGGTCCAGGCTAGTGAGACCAGGGCAGCCAATTAGTTGTGATGCTCCAGGCTAGTGAGGACAGGGCAGCCACTTAGTTGTGGTGGTCCAGGCTAGTGAGGTCAGAGTTATGGTGATCCAGGCTAGTGAGGTCAGAGTAGCCACTTAGTTGTGGTGATCCAGGCTAGTGAGGTCAGAGTAGCCACTTAGTTATGGTGATCCAGGCTAGTGAGGTCAGAGTAGCCACTTAGTTGTGGGTGATCCAGGCTAGTGAGGTCAGAGTAGCCACTTAGTTATGGTGATCCAGGCTAGTGAGGTCAGAGTAGCCACTTAGTTGTGGTGGTCCAGGCTAGTGAGGTCAGAGTAGCCACTTAGTTATGGTGATCCAGGCTAGTGAGGTCAGAGTAGCCACTTAGTTGTGGTGGTCCAGGCTAGTGAGACCAGGGCAGCCACTTAGTTATGGTGATCCAGGCTAGTGAGGTCAGAGTAGCCACTTAGTTGTGGTGGTCCAGGCTAGTGAGGCCAGGGCAGCCACTTAGTTGTGGTGGTCCAGGCTAGTGAGGTCAGAGTAGCCACTTAGTTGTGGTGGTCCAGGCTAGTGAGGTCAGAGTAGCCACTTAGTTGTGGTGGTCCAGGCTAGTGAGATCAGAGTAGCCGCTTAGTTGTGGTGGTCCAGGCTAGTGAGGCCAGGGCAGCCACTTAGTTATGGTGATCCAGGCTAGTGAGGCCAGAGCAACCACCTAGCTATGGTGGTCCAAGCTAGTGAGGCCAGGGTAGTCACTTTGCTGGTCCAGGCTAGTGAGGCCAGAGCAACCACCTAGTTGTGGTGGTCCAGGCTAGTGAGGCCAGGGCAGTCACCTTGCTGGTCCAGGCTAATGAAGCCAGGGCAGCCACCTAGCTGTGGTGGTCCAGGATAGTGAGGCCAGAGCAACCACCTAGTTGTGGTGGTCATATGTTGACATATCCTCATCTTAAATTTTAATTACAGAAGACCCATATTTATATGTACACAGTTGACATTTTACCACCCAAATTTGGCTTATACAAGGGTAAGGTTCATACGTGCAGAGCTGAGTATCACTGATGACTCATACAACCTTAATCCTTTATGCTACTCAATACATTGAAAATCATACCATTAGTTCTATTAACACTCTTACATATGATCTAAATTATCGCTCTAGGGTTTTCATATACAAATTTGCGTATGAACTAAAAAATTAAAATAAAATAATTTTAAGTTTGCTTATAAAATCTACATATGCAAGCTATACATTTAGCAACGTCGGTGTGATCTGGCTCCTATGTAGACTGCCTCCAAGGTTACGTGAGTGACCACACCAATCGTCCTTTGAGGTTCAATAGCACATAACATAACTTTGACCCACATTTCCCACCATGGCTTGTGCTTGTTTCTCATTCATCACAGTAATTTCATTTACTGATAACAGTGTTGTGATAGTTTTGAACCATGCCTCGAGTTGCTGGCGAAGGTAGAGGGGTGGGAAAACATGAAACATACAAGGAGATTGCAAATGGTGATAAGTGTGATGCCTCCTGATTCCTTTCCCAGTGTTCCTGGCCCTTCTAGTGCAAGTGATAATTTGTCTGGCCCTTTAACAAGCAGTCCTAGTATTAAAGGAACTGCCTGGCATGTTGTTGTGGCAAAAATGAAAAATAAAAAAGTGTTGCACTTGTGGTATCTCAGCCATCGCAGCGTGACTTACCTCGTGACCGCTCATATCCATCCTAAGTGTGCACTACCTGTACTCTTACTAAAACTATATTTAGTTGCCTTGTTCAGGCTAAGTATGGCACTGTAAGGCACAGAGAAGGAGGGGGAGGAACATCACCAAGTGCTCCAACATATAACAACTTGTAAGGAAAGAAATTCATTTATTTTCAGAAAAAAAGTTATGTAATATTTTTATGCATTACATTTCAACAGTAATTTACAATTATTATTTCATATGAATTTTGATATCAATAAGCATTTATAAACAAATCATGTATAGAATACAGTAATATCTCTGTTAGCTGGAATCCCTCAAACCCGGAACTTTCCAATAGCCGTACAGTGAGTTCTGCTATAACGCGTGTTTTGACAACGCAAATTGGCTCTAACGCGATTTATGAATAGAGGAACGATATTTGTATATCGCGAACGCTTGTTTGCTGTAACGCGATTTTTGCTTACTATTTCTCCAATTTTGTGATATTAACTGTGAATATGGTAAAGAAGAATATCTCCAAGAAGCGTTCTGGTGATCGCATTCCCGGTGATGATTGTAAAAGAAAGGCTATAACCCTTGAAGAGAAGCTCGATGTTATCAACCTCAAAATCACCCTTCTCCCCCATCAAGTTATATTCATATTTTTTCAAGGTAAAGTGTTACATTTACTGTATGATTTTATTATTAGATATGAACGTAACATTTATTTAGACTGTGCTAACCTTTGTGTTAGGCTAACTACTAAATTTTTTTCAATTTAGAGTAGTAATCTGCACCTAACCCTATTTTCTCCATAAGCCCTCTGCACCTAACCCTATTTTCTCCATAAGCCCTGTTATTTCTATTACGCGAATTTCTATAACACGATGTTTTACAAGAACACAACTATCGCGTTATAGCAGAACTGACTGTAATTGAAATTTGCTCGGGACTCACTAATGGCTGTTGTCGATGATACACCTAGCCAACTCTTTTGCCACAAGGGCAGTTCTTCTTTCAGGAAGCTCATTTGTGCCAGTATCCAGAAGGGTTCTGACATTCCGTGCAGTGACCAAAAGAGGTTGTAGAAGTTTGTTTTTGTTTGGATCTGTGATTATAATTGTGTTTTCGATCACATAAGGATCACCTTACTGGGTGTGGTTGCCCAGTCAGGTAAGTTTTTTAGTCAGGCTATGTTTAGGGCACCTTTACTAACCCATCCCCATGTGGTGTAAGCAGCATGGCTCCTGGAGAGGGTCTGCTCAGTCACACAGACAGGACCAGATTGCACTGCTGTCTAGATCCCAGTGCATAAACGACCATCTTATCTGTGCCACCCATGTGCAGAGTTGTGACTAGAGACTCCCGGCAGTCATCTCTGCCTGTCCCTGTTGCCACTCGTCCGTCACCATAGGACTTTTGGGGGTATAGGGGTTTTGATGAATGAGAGGTATAATGAACTGGATGATGGCTGCGCGTGAGTTGATTTATGTGGTGAGGCAGGAGCGCAGGCTGCAACCACACATTTTGGCTCCCCTTTTTCCTGATCCAGTGGTGCAAGTGTTGCAATGACTGGGGAGAGAGAGACTTGCAATGGACTGCCGATAGCCCAGTTTCTTGGGTTTTGCCTTAGTAGCATATCCATTAGGCATTGCCTTTGTCCGCCAGTGTAGTCGTTGGGTTTCCATGGTAGTCGCCTCTTCCGCGTATACTGCTGTTGGGGTCTTGTTGGAGGTCTGTAAGCATGTCTGCCTGATGCGGGGCTCCACCGCAGATTTTTCATTCAG